GGATATAGCTCGCTCACGCCGAAGACCTATCCACATCATCATTTACCCAGAATGCTTTGTGTGTAAATAAAATGGCCCCGTACATGTACTATATTTTTAAACTTTTAGTTTAAAAATTATAAAAACTAAACAGCCGACAGTATTTTTACAGTCTTTATTTTACAGTTAAAATATATATTAATCAAATAAAGTCTAATGGGTCCCTTTAAAAGCTTTAGACTTTTTCATCAAATTTTGAAAATGATATGCCCGATTGTGCACATCTGACCACCATGTTAGTGCTTTTAGTATCTTATGAATGGCTCTGCCACAAATACATCAAATCCTAGGTTAATACCAGTAAAACTGACTGAATTATAGCCTTTATTGTTTTTTCTACCAAAGGTTTAAGTAAATATGTTCCATGTATGTTACGATGAACTTTGATGCCCCTTTTCCACCAGTGCCTCTACAACATGGTTCGACTTAGACCTCCACGGTTCCAAGGCTTTTCCACTAGCAAGTATTTGTGGAACCAGCACCTTCTTCAGAACATACTTCGCTGTTGTTCCAGGTGTACTGTGCTGGCCTGAAAACATGACACCAGAAGACTGTCGGTCTCTGATTGGTTAGAGGGTTGAATCACTGGTTGGATCAGAAGAGCTACTCTCACAACCAGATCCACCATTTGCAATAACAACGTTACCATTACCTCCATTGCTGTGTTGCATATCTTTTTGTGGTCTTCTGCTGTTTAATGGCAGTTGGCAAATAGCTTAATGGAGCATAACCGCCACCAGCTGGAAAGGCATGTGGCATCAATTTTTGGACTTTGGGAAAGTTTACAATGAACCCACCTACTAGAGCTGTTTCTGAAGTGGAAAACTGCCTGAACCATGAGTTCAGTCTAGTGGAACCGTGCTGTAGAGGTGCTAGTGGACACGGGCCACGCCCAGTCTTAGATCAGTATCTGTAAAACTTACTGACAGGAAGCCATTTTGTGCTGAAGTTAGTCATGGTGACATTTTACAGCAGGATGACTTCTAAGTCAGTCATGAGTACTTTCTGACTGTGTCATTAAAATACGTCCAGTAATTCATGAGGTATTTTGGCCAAAGAACAGATAGTTGATCTGAGTGATTTTCAGTCATTTAAAACATACTGTATTAAACTGAAATGCATTGTGTGTTTTTAGCCCTTCAAAGCCCAAACCTGACACACAGTTCAACCAGATCCACCTGTGGATCATCAAAGTTCTAAATGTTCTGTTTATATTCACGCACCGTTAGACCCCAGAATCAACATCTCAAAGTAGTGAGGACCCCCACCAAGACCAAGGAACTCCCCACACTGGGACAAATGTTCCAAACAATAAACAACCCGTGGAACTGAATTAAATCCATTTCTAGAAACTGGAAAGATTATTCAACTACAGCAAACCAGAGAAAATCCATCCACCAGACTGGGGAAGAAGGGCATTAAAGAGAGAAGCATCCAGGACGACAGATATAACCCTGATGGAGCTGAGAGATGGAGGGTCTGTCTGTAGGACCACTGGAAGCTGCACAGAACTGGACTTCATGGAAGAGTGGCTGCTTAAATAAAAATTTAAAAATAATGTTTGATAAAGCTCACCTTTTCACACAGACTTTCAACTCTTGACTCTGCAGCACAAAGGTTCAACAAGGTGGGTTAGCTTTAACACCACCCCTCCCTCAGTCTATTCAGAAATCACACCAAGGCTGCCTGAAGGCATCTCAGTCCCCTCAGGTGTTTTATGAAGAAGTCCTTTAAATGTTTACTATAAACTGTCTACAGTAGATTAAAGGACCTGCGACATCAAATTTTTTGCAGTAAAATTAAATGCATTTTTGGAAAGATAACATTTTTGAAAAGGTACCAAATAAAAAAAATCACACCACTGAGAGGAACAGCTGTTGAGATATTTGTATGTGAAGAAACAGGAAGTGATGTGAAAGGGGAATGACAGCATGTGAACAGAGCGTTCAGACTAGAGAAGAATCTGATATTTCTGAAAGTTATTTTGAGTCATTAGCTGCGTTTCCATTGACCATGAAAATGCTCAGATTAGAATTTCGAAATAAATTTGCTCAATGGAAACACGTCAATTTCGAAAAAAAAATTATGTTTTTCGACAAAAGGTTTTGCGCTAGGATGAGGTGGTTTTTCAGCCGTATCGAATTTGATGTTTTTCACAAAAC